GCCATCGCTATTAGATTGGAGGCCACCACTATTAGGTGGGAGGCCATCGCTATAGCAGGTCGGAGGCCATCGCTATTAGGTTGGAGGCCGTCGCTAGTAGGTTAAAGGCCGTCGCTAGTAGGTTGGAGGCCATCACTATTTGGTTGAAGGCCATCGCTATTAGGTCGGAGGCCATCGCTAGCAAGTTGGAGGCCATCGCTATTAGGTTGGAGGCCATCGCTAGTAAGTTGGATGCCGTCGCTGGTGTGTTGGAAATGGTTGGAGGATGTTGGAGGCCATTGCAATTAGTCTGGAGGCCATGGCTATAATAGGTTGGAGGCCATCGCTATTGGGTTGGAGGCCGTCGCTATATTAGGTTGGAGGCCATCGCTAGGTTGGAGGCCATGGCTAGTAGGTTGGAGGGCGTTGCTATGACATTATGAGTTGGATGCCATAGCAATTATAGGTTGGAGGCCATCGCTAGTAGGTTGGAGGCCATCGCTATTGGGTTGGAGGCCATTGTAGTAGGTTGGCGGCCGTCGTTATTAGTTGGAGGCCATCGCTATTAATTACCATGGAGGCCATCGCTATTAGGTTGGAGGCCATCGCTAGTAGGTTGGAGGCCATCATGACTTTTACATCCCCAGGCACATGGCTGTCGGTCACCATAGTTGCGCTATTGAAAGGATTGCCTGGGCATTGTGTGTATTATATAGCTCTTTATGCCACAGCTGTCAATCCCAATATCAAAAAGAACACTACCTGTTTTCCGATCATTAAATGGTTGATTGCTGCGCGCCTAGCATAACCGGATGACCGTGCATTAACCGAGAGGCCCGACCCAACATACAAGATATCACAGCAACAGCGTCAAAGAATGAGTCGAAACCCTACAGGCAGACCATCAAAACAGGACCATGACATGACATTATCAATAGACGACGTCCACAAACACGATGGAAGCACTTAAATCACCCGTGCCCAAGTGGCTAACCCCTGCAATCAGTCTGAGGTCCAACGTGCTTTGGTCTTTTGCAACCTTTTGCATGTTGACCTTGAGTGCACGGACGGAGCAAGCCCATGCAAAATGGACTTGTGTTCAATTCTCAATCGGGCGTGAAGATCGTCGGGCATCCGCTTGGTTGGCTGGAGCCGCTGTCAGACCAGGCGGGCTACCCGATGTCAGTCTCTCCACTTCGCTGGGAGGGTACGGAGCCCAGTTGCGGGGCGCTAGTGAACTTTGAAGCCTGCAGTTCAGTGATCAGCCTTACGGCACACATAATAATAGAAGACTTTTCAAGAAGTTTCATGATGAAAACAGTTTTTAACATATAATCTGAAACTGAGAGGTGCCATCTCTACGCCAGCCACTCCTGCGACACCCATGACCGCCCCAACGCCTGCAACTCCACTGACCACTCCCATGACCTCGCCGATGATGCGACAGCGACTGTGGTGACCTCAACATCACGACCCAGTGAACATGACTGCATGAATCCAACATGGCGGTTCAATTGATGCCACATTGTGACCGCTGAATTATATATATATATGCAGTCCTGACAAGGAAAATAAGCTTGAGGTTGTAGAACATGCAGTTCAACTAGTCAGATCACTCCCACGTCGAGCTCCGTCAAGGTGCGTGTCTCCTTGCAGAACCTCAAGGGCTACACCTTTGATCCAAAGGTCAGGACAGTGCTTGAGATGGACCACATGAGACCTCCAGTCAATGACCTGGTTGTGTAGATAAAGCATTCACTTTGGCATGATAGCAGTCTGAATTACCATTTATGATGTGCGAAGTTGATATGAAGGCCCGTCGTTGATTTTCACAAATGTGTTCCAGGTTTTCAAGTCTCATCGCACTTCGGTCGGGATTGAACGACCTGTATCCTATATAATCCGTTCTTTAACCAGCTTGGGCGACGAGGCCTGCTCCAGTGTCCCCACGCGCTGTAGAGAAGCTGTTGGCGGTGCCGCAGTTGTTTTTTTGGGCTGCCATGATGACAATGGGAGGGAACAACATACTTGGCCTTCAAGAGGTAGATAAAGGATTATAAAAGCCGTTGAACATGTTCAACTTCGAGCCATTTCCTGAAATGAGTGTACCATAGTGTACCATTGTTTACCTGTCTACCTTTGACCTGATATTCCTATAGTGTATCATGCATATTGACTGTGTATTGATGTTTGTCAGCTCCTTGTTTGCCAAGGGTTTCTGACCTCATTCTTGCTGCAGCACTGGCTGGCGTTGCTCCGCGCACCGAACAGAATGGTGCGACGACAACCACGCAAAAGTGTTAGCTAAGCATGGCAGACATATATCCAGACAGATGAACCCCACATGCAAGACTGCGCACAGAAGTTTACAACCTTTGTGCATATGCTAAGCGATCGTTTTGCCTTTTCGGGTCTCTCCAAAGCAGTATTGGCTGCCATTTCGAAGAGGAGTTGTCGGTTTCTGTCACTTGAATCTGGGTTGCATCCAGGTGTTCTCAACTGCCAACAAGGCAATATGATTCCGTGACCGTGCACCTGAAAGACCTGCAAACAGAGATGATTGCAGTACCACTCCGGATATTACTACTGTATATGGAGTGTACAGTGTATTGGATTAAGCTGCCCCGATTTGCAACATGCCATTCTCTCACTGCCGAGGTCATGGCAGGTTTTGAAGCGTCATGGAACTGTGAGGAGTTGGCAAAGAACCTTTGTGATCTCCTGGCTGCTTGGTAGAAACTGTGTTTGACCTGTGAATGAGACAGCCAATGGGATGTTATTGCTGCCACCTATCACATGTTTAATTCACGTGTTTTCACAACTATCCATTATTCAAATTCCATGCTTGCTGGCTTCCAAACCTGTGAACTACAACAGCCTGTAGCTTGAGACATCCTTGTAGAGATGAGGAGGCCAGAACTTGCTCAGTCCGAAGATGTTTGGAATAGTTCAGATTGGATGTCCCACCTGAGGTCAAGAAAGGACAGCTCAAGGACGAATGGCTGTGTGCTTCAGTACAGTAATGCTGATGCTGATGCTTTTGTGAGAATGTCAGTGAGTTTGAGGAGAAGCCAGCATTTATTCGGACTGACCGCGAGGCATCCAACTGGAAACTGGCGTGCGATAGAGCAGTGCAGTTATAGTAGAAACTGTTACACTTCCTGCAACTAACATGGAAGTGGAAAACCTCCTTTTTGATCTTTTTGTAGAGGACATTAGAGGACAATAGTCTTCCAAGTGGCAATTGTCCACTTCCATGCTAGTTGCGGGAGTGTAGCAGAGGTCCCCTTCAACAGCTCCAGAGCAAATCAGGGGGTGACTCACCCTTTTCAAGTCTGGATTCTTCCGTGACTTCCAAGAGTACGGGTACCAAACTGCATAACAGCATCGAGTCTGAGGCGAAGATCGCCTCAATTTTTGAAGGCATCGGCTTGGATGGTGCGAAGATGGAGTCCTTCGACAATCCTGGCCCTTTGGAAGCTTGGACTCTTTCCACTCCGCGGGCGTTTGATATCTCCTGAAGCACGGCATTCGAACAGCTGTGCTTTGAGGAGATGCTTGTGCGAAAGAGCACCAACGGTGAGACTTGGGTCCAGCACGTCTTGGAGGGCTTGGTCAGCACCTGGGCTGGGGAGAGAAGGGCAGCAAAGCAAACTCGTATTCAAATGCAGCAGAGGCAGGTTGTCGTCTCAGCCTTCCCGCGCATTCCACGTGTGCATGATACATGCACACTTACTTGACACTGCTTTCCTTTTGGCTTTGCTTTGGCCAAGGTATGCTGCCAGAGGAGAACCTGCACTGGCACTGGTGTGATTTGTGCTCTGAAGCATTTACGGCATGGTACACCTTGGAGTGGGGACACGGGGTGGCAGGAGGTGGCCAAAGCAGCTAAGACAATGAACATGGACGAGGACCGGTAAGTGCATCGAGCAGCTTATATATTAATTATTTATATTATATATATATTGTATATATATATAAACAAAAATATGTATATATATATATATTTGTTTAGATGACTACCTTTTTCTTATGCGTTTGCACACCCTTTTAAATGTTTTTAACTGTACATTACTACCTCCAGGCTGCGAAAGAGGAGCTCGCTGCAGCAAAAGAAAAGTGCGAGACTTATTCTATAGTGAAGCTTAAAAGTACATGTTTCGAGCTTTAGCATTTGCAACATGAACCGGGCATCAAAAGCAGAACATGTGGCATATGGCAAAGCATGCGTTAATCGTGCAAAGCGCACATCGTTGCAGTGACAAATCAAAACATAAGGACATTGATTGGCTGTGTCTTCTAAGTCCCTTCGAGGTCAGCACAACGCCGTGAACGTCTTCATGATGACAGAGACAAAGAGGGAGGCCTTGAACTCGGTGTTTGGAAAGAGGGGGTCTTAGTTCGACTCACGAATTGGCTCCTGCAGGTGACAAAGAGGGAGGAGACCGCCCAAAGGGCAAAGGCTGAGGGTGTCTGTTAGTTCTCCCTCGATTGATATACAGTAGTTCCCCACATCTTAGTGTGGGGTTCTTCTTTTCTATGTCTCATCCCGCTTCCCGCCCGCTTCCCGCCTCCGCCTCCGCCACACACACCGAGGCAACAGACACCGAGACAACGCAGACAGAGATCACACAGACAGAGACACACACACACA